CAACAGCTAAGGGAAAAACAGCTTAAATAAACTGTTAAACACCACAGAAAGGTCAAGTTGAATGAGGATTTGATGAGAGTGGTTTCCTAGGTTCAAAGGTATAGTGGGGACAGAAGCCAGAAAACAAGGTTGGAAAGTAAGGGCTGTTGTCAGTGGTTTTCTAGGCAAAAGAATCACACGATTTCATTACTTAATGCCTATGTAGCATACACATATGTTTCTAATGTAATATTTTAACAGCTTTATTGAGAAATGCGTAATTGTTTGAACAAGTCAATATTTATGTTTTAAAAATGAAATATGCTCAGGAAAAGAGAAAGGGTGTGTGCTGGTGGCCAGGAGGCAGGCTTGCAGAATGCACCCTTGAGTTGTTTAAATGATTATATATTCCTGAGTGTTTATGTGTACATTAAAAACAAAGAATAGAAGCAAATACTGTTGAATGATGATGCATGGAGGGGATTGTAATCATTGCAATGAAACGAAATATGATAGGATGAGTGTAAAACCGGTGTTCTCCCATGCAAACTATCACTCAATTCACAATAAAAGGTTTTTATTTTTTTTAAAAAGGTTGTTGAAATGTAATATCTTTGGCTGTATATATCAGAGTATGTAAAAAAAAAAAGTTGTTACAAAATTATAGAAACCATTATTAAACAAACAAAAAATATAGATAAAGGAAGTATATTAGTGGTTGCCAGGGATTCCAGGGAAAGAGTGGAGGTGGGGATGGTGAACAGGTGAAACTATTTTGTGTAATACTGCAGTGATGGATATATGACATTATACATTTGACAAAGCCCATAGAACTCTACAACACAAAGTGAATCTAATGTAAACAATGGACTTTAGCTAATAATAATATTGGGATAATCAACTGTAAGAAATATGCCACAGTATTTCATGATGTTAACAACAGGCAAAACTGTGTGCAGGGGGAGGGGCATGTGGTAACTCTGTACTTTATGTGCAATTTTTCTATAAACCTAAAACTGCTCTAAAAAAGAAAGTACATTAAAAAAAAAAAAAAGGCATTAAAACAACAACCAAAAAGCCCTAAGCACTAATTAGAAACAGAAGTTAGTGATATAGGCCTATTATTTCAGAGGACAGCCAGATCAACTGTATTAGAATCACCTGGGATGTTTTATACAAATATTGATTCTAGGGTAGGGTCCTATCCCTTGAGATTCAGACACAATTTATTTGCAAACAGGCAAGGCGTACTGTTTTCTTCACACAGCTTCCCTGATGCTGAATTTTCAGGAAGAAAAAGGGGTACCTAGGGAAAGTCTTTATTTAAGGAATCTAGAAAGGAGGCTGTAGGATAAGCACTAGACTGTGAACCACAAGGTCAGTGGTTTGAGCCCACCAGCTGCTCTGTGGGAGAAAGATGAGGCTTTCTGCTCCTGCAAAGATTTACTGCCTCTGAAACCCTATACAGGATCGCTATGAGTCAGAACCGACTTGACAGCACTTAACAACAAGAGAACGGAGCAAGGGGCCCTGATGGTACAGTGGTTAAATGCTAACCAAAAGGTCCACGGTTCACACCCACCAGATACCCACAGGAGAAAGATGAGGCAGTCTGGAGGGCAGTTCTACTCTACCCTATAGGAACTGACTCGATGGCAGTGTGTTTGATTTTTGGGTACAAAGGAGAAAGTCCTGGAAGTGTAGGGGTTAAGTGCTCAGAAGCTAACTGAAAGGTCAAGGGTTAGAACACACCAATCACTCCACAGGAGAAAGACAGGACACTCTCATAAAGATTTTGTTGTTGTTAAGTGTCAAGTGGGATCTGACTCATAGGGAACCTGTGTAGGGTTTCCATGGAACGGCTGGTGGGTTTGAACCGCCGACCTTTCAGTTCAAGCCAACCTTGCAGTCCAGTGCTTTATCCTACAGTGCCACACCAGGACTCCTTGGGAATCATTTGGGGGCAGTTCTACTTTGTCCTATAGAATCACTAGGCAGTTCCATTCTGCTCTATAGGGTCTCAAAGAGTTGAAATCAACTCAATGGCAATAGGTTTAGATAGGACGAGTTCCTAAATGATGCAAATGGTTAATGTACTCAGCTCCTAACTGAAAGGCTAGAGGTTTGAGTTCACTCAGAGGCACGTCAGAAGGCCTGGTAATCTACTTCCAAATAGAGGGACACCAAGAGTCTACATCAACTAAACAACAACTGATTTGAGAACGTCATTTTCAAACTGAGTTTCTGAGGAAGACTAAGCTTCTTAAAGATACTTAAGATATTAATAAACTAACAACAGTGTGTGCCGCTTATTGCATGATTATTATGTCCCAGAGTATACTAAGCATTTCATATTCATTACTTTCTGCTAGATAAGGAAAATGAGACCTGAGGGGAAGTGATTGTCTAAGGTTAGCTAGGTGGAGTCAGGAAGTTGAATCCAGCTTGTCTATTTCCAGAGTCTTGCTGTTTTCATTTTTGCAGAAAACAAAATGTAGTTACAATATAGAATGATCTTTATTTATTTATTTAGGACATTTTATTGTGGTTTGGGTGGAAGTTTACAGAGTCAATTCTTTTCAACAATTTAACACATTTTGGAGTTGCAATCCCTTCAATATAATGGCAAAAAAGGTGAACCCCTTCATGAATTTGTGTGTCATCTTTCTTTGCACAGGAGTGGGGCTAATCTCTGTACGTTTCAATGGGAGTACATGGGCTACCAAAGTGAGCACAGTATTATCTCAATTTTAAGTTTGTCTTCTACTTACGTCTTAGGACTTTGGCATACGTTACCACAGTTTGAAAGAGACCCATCCAGAGGTGCCTCGGAAGGGAGGTCTAGTGATTTGCTTCTGAAAGTCCTATAGAGCAGTTCTACTCTGCACACATGGAGTCCCCTTGAGTTGGAACCACAGCAACTAAACAACATCAACAATGACTTATTTACTCTAGAACCGGGACTGTGAACTCATCTGGGGGAATAAGTTGTATTTTTAATCACTTCATCTCCAGGGCCCAGTACATTACATAGTTTGTACTCAAGAGAGATTTTTGAATAAGTTAGTGTCTTAGTTATCTAGTGCTGGTATAATAGAAATATCACAAGTACATGGCTTTAACAAAACGAAGTTTGTTTTCTCACAATTTAGGAGGCTAGACTCTGAATTCAGAGCTTTGTCTCCTTTCATCATCTGAAAGCCACACACTCATTGGAGATTTCCATGTGTCTTGGCATCAATCTTTCCCTGGGTCTAGAAGCTTCTCAGTACAGGAACCCCAGGTACAAAGACACAATTCACCCCTGGCTCTTTTTTCCTGGTGGCAGAAGGTCCCTCTTCCTCTGCTCACTTCTGTCTCCTCATATCTTTGTAAAATGAAAGATGTAGGTTACACCCTTGAAGAACTAACTCTCCCTTCAGTTGACTGGCTGCTAATAGTAGATCCCACCATGAAAGGGATTAATTACCTTATATTAGACCTCGTCATGGAGGATTATTACATTTTAACTGCCAAACCAATGAGAATTCTGACCCAGCCAGATTGACACAAAACCCTAAACATCACTGTGAGTAAATCTGATTTGGGGTCTGTACACTGACTTGTAAGTTTTGTTATTTTAAGCTTAATATTCCCATACTTTTTTAGAGTTCTCCAGAGAGAGCATTGTTTTTCAAAAGGGAAATTCACTAGAGTTGTAAGGTGGACAGAAGATTGCAAGGGTTACATAATGATGAAACAGAATCAACCGACTCAGACGTTCTTTTTCTCCAAAGAAGGCAACTGAAACAACAACCAAAAAAAAAAAGTTTCACCTATCTTGAGGAAGGAGACAGGACAAACTATCAGAGGTTTACAGGAGAAACAGCCAGTGAAAAAGGGAAAAGCGATGATGGAAGAAAGAGATGGAATCAATAGTAGATGAGACCTAGAGAGGGTGAGAGGGATCCTCGGGGATAAGCTTTGAGCAGAAAGCACCTGTTCCTCTGGATCAAGGAAAACAAGTCTGTAAAGCTGCAGTTCGACTCTGAGCAGAGTGGAGAGGAAAGCATCAGGAAGCTAGACTTCACGGAGGTGAGAACAATCTGCTGAATGAAGTTTCTCTTCCAGTTCCACTTACTCATCATTTAGCGCCAAGGATCAGAACATTTTACTCCAGGATTCTGGAGATCTATATGGGGTGCCACTTTAAAACACACACAGCACAGAAACTACTATCTACTACCATCATAGTTTTCTATTTAAAGGGGAGTGACATTTAACCCCCCCCCCAAAAAAAAAGGTAGAAAGGCTATCATCTAGGAGAAATCTACTCGTCTGTATCACCAACTCATTCGATTGCCCTTATTTCTCTCATTTCACCAGGGAGAATGACTTGCTCCGCCTGGACGAGTGCGTGGGCAAAGGCTTCCAGTCCCGGAGGGGCAGGAGGGAGCCTGGTAACCCGGCGGGCCCCCAGCCTCTCCCGCGCCCGCCCAGACAGCTGGCCGCCGGCTGCCATTCCCGCCCCTCAGAGCAGAGCGGGACTGGCAGGTCTCTGGACAGCCTGCGCCCCAGCCAAGATTTTCGGGGGACCCAGACCCCACTGGCGACGTGCGCGCGCAGCGGGGCGCGGCCTAAAGTCACGAGGGGCATCTCTCCTTACCCCACGGGCTGTCCAGGCCAGGCTCCACTCCACAGGCCCTTTTCCTGCGGTTTGGGGCAGCAGGGTCGGAGCCGGAGTGGGGGTAAGGTAAGGTGGGGTGGGGTGAGGTGGGGTGGAAGTGGCAGCCCGCGGATCCCTGTACCAGCCGCGCCTTCCTCGGACCGCACTGCCCCACAGGTGTGAAGACCACCTGGCCTGCGCCCTGGCTTCAGCTATCCCAGACTCTAGGTCCCCAACGTCTGGATGCCCGAGGTTCTGGGCGCCCACGCCTGCTCATGGGATCTCGGTTCTTGGACAACAGTGCGAACGTCAGTGGGCACCCACGCAGGGCCAACGAAGGGGCCGGCTGAGTACATCCTTCAGGCGGCCGTCCTACCTGTCATAGCTCCAGCGGCTGTAGGACAGGGTCCGGTGGCTGCTGACTCCTTCCATCTCTGCCTCGCTGCTCTGCTCCGCTCTGGTTCCACGCACAGCAGCGGCTCTGGGCGTCAGGACCTGCAGCAGGCTCCGCGCTCCCTAGCTCGCGGGCTGCGGTCTGGGGCGCAGGCGGAGGACTGTACCATTCGCCCCCCCACACGGGGGGGGGGTAACCCCATCCCTAGCTCTGCCAGTGGCGGGGACGCAAGGGCCCAGGGCTTCGGGGACCTCCTCCCCCGCGCTTGGGTCCCATGGGGGTGCGGCTGCAGCAGTCAGTACTGCTTATTTATTTATTTCCTGTGTGTGCTCCACGTTTCCATGGCAACCGCTCCATCTTTTCCAGTATCACTAGGGCCCCGCAGCTTTCAAATCTTCCCGGGACCGGGACTGCCAAAAGGCTGCCCCTTCTCCTTCTCGCGTGGGAGTTCAGGATAGGAATCCCAACTCAGATCCCCTTAGCAAAGATACTCCTTCCTGTCTGGCGTGGGAGACTTTATCCTAATAATCTCTCACTGTCAAACACCTGCCTACCCAGACTAGGAATATACCTCTACGGAATTTTGGAGATTCCCGCCATTTCTTCCCCAGTGTGGAAGTCCTTCTTTAACCTCCCTCACAAGGTTAGCAGTTCAAACCCACCAGCTGCTCCTCAGGAAACTGGGTACAGGGTCTCTGTGAGTCGGATCAACTCGACTGCACTTAAAACAATCTGCACTCCCTGCACTCCCCGTGTCCCCCACCTCCTCAAACTGCTGAGACTCAGTTAGGTCCATTCCTTCTTTCCCCCTTTCCCACCGGATTTCCTTGCCCCACTGTCTAGCGTATTGTGACATTCTTGGATTTAGAAGGACAAGCTCTGCCAACACTCCCATTTCTAGGCGATCACTTTCATTTATTTCCACTTTGTTATTTTCTCTACTTTGCTAATAAAAACCCTTAGGAAACATTCCAGCCTGCCTTGGCTCAACAGAGGAGAGTGCCTTTTTGTCTATACCTGGCTGAGGGTGGACCAGGGAAGGCTGTAGGAAGGAGCCCTACCTCCATTTGAGGTAGAAGGGTTTGAGGGCCAGCAGGCGCTATCCTGCCTTCCTACCCTTCCTTCCCTTCCCCCATGCTGGGCGTCTGGCTGTGGGGATTTTCTGGTATAAGCTTCTTGCAGAGGTCATAGTATCCTAAGAAGGTCTTTTCAGTGCAGCTGTTGTGGGGAGGCTGTGCGAATTTCATCCTGGTGTCAAGGTGAGGTCTGGGTCCCTGAGGAGTGCCAAGAGGAAGGAGACATGGCTTCAGTTACATGAATCTAGTCACAGTGAGAAACCCCTGTGAAACTAGTTAACCTGCTAATTCGGTGGGTTATAGCGAATGTAATTGACAATGCACCTGTTGTATTCAGTCCACAAATATGTTTTATATGTCCTGACAGTGCTGTTGTTGTTTTAATGGAATGAATTGGCTCTATTTTAAAACTGGGAGATTTGAAATAAAGATCTGTCTTTCTGTCTGCTCTGGAAAACCAGACTGCCTTCAGGTGTAGCAGGAGTTAACTGGAGCAGAGGAGTGGGTACTGCCACCAGCCGGCTTCTCTCACTCAGACAATTTCCCTGACCTTTGTCTTAGGGTGGGTTCTCTAGAAGTTTGTGTATAGGACTAGATATACGTATACACATTGTATACATACACACATATATATGTGGAGTCTTGGTGCGGCATTGTAGGAGAAGCACTGGATCTCAAGGTTGGTTTGAGCTGCAAGTTGGTGGTTCAAACTCACCAGCCACTCCTTGGAAACCCTATACAGGGTTATTATGAGTCAGAACTGACTGAATAGCATGTAACAACACATGCACACTCCATATATACATATGGAGTCCTGGTGTGGTACAGCAGGATAATGCACTGGACTACAAGGTCAGCAGTTCAAACTCACCAGCTGCTCCTCGGAAACCCTATCTATACAGGGTCACTATGAGTCAGAACCAACTCAAAAGCACTTATATGGAGTCCTGGGGTAGTGCTGTAGGATAAAGACTCATCTGTGGTTCAAACCCACCAGCTGCTCCTTGGAAACATGATACAGGGTCATTATGAGTGGGAACTGACTAGCCAGCATTTAACAACAACAAGGATAGAAAGATTCCAAGGGAATGACTCACACAGTTATGGAGGCTGGTGGTGATGGTGGTGGTGGTGTGCCATGGAGTTGGTTCTGACACATAGCGACCCTGCATAGGATTTCCGAGGCTGTAAATTTTTACAGGAGCAGAAATTCTCATCTTTTTCACATAGAATGGCTGGCAGTTTTGAACAGCTGACCTTGAGGTTAGCAGCAAGACCCAAATCCATGGGCTAGGTGTCAGGCTGGATGCTTCTCCTGACTCACCGGCTCATGTGGTTGCAGCAGTTGATAAACCCAAAACTGGCAAGTCAAATGGGAGGCTGCTGACTCCTAGGTCTCTGAGAAGCTGGAAAATCTCAAAATCTGCCGATTAAGTGGCAGGCAGCTCACTCACATTGTAAGAACCAGAGGTCAGATGATGACAAGTCCAATGCAGGATTGAGTGAGAGAACATTGCCAGAGCATCCATATATATTTGATGCAGGTCACACCCCCAAAGGAAATTTCCATGACATCAGATCACTAAATGCCGGATAACTGCATAATACTGAGCATCAGGATCTGGCCAATTTGACATGTAACATTAACCATCACAGTCTACTTAGCAAGTCTACACATCTCCTTAAGTCATACATTGTTGTTGTTGTTAAATGCCGTTGAGTTGGTTCCGACCCATAGCAACTCTCTAGAGGGTTTCCAAGGAGCGACTGGTGAGCTTGAACCACCAACCTTGCAGTTCAAACTGACTTTGAAGTCTAGCGCATTAACCCACAGCACCTCGCCAGGACTCCAAGCCATACATAGTCATTAAATAAAAACAATAATAAAGTCAAACATTGTCTAACATGATACAGCTAACATGTACAACTGAAAACCCATTTGCATTAGTCCCATTTACATCTTATATTTTGTAAGTGGCATAAGGTAGGGAAGAAAACAAAAATATTTCATATAAATACATGCATACACACAAATAGTAAAACAAGGAAGAAATATTTGTAACAATTACAGTCCTCATTTCTGCAAGTGGTCACGTGGTTGCAACTAGTATTTTGAGCTACCTTTTTCCATCACAGATTCCCTAGTCCCTGTGCCCCTCAGCAAGCACCTCAGTTGGGCATGATTCTTTGCCTGGTGGAGGGATCCAAATCTTTATTTCCTAAGGGCTGGGGTCATTGGTAGTCGTGCTGGAACTGGGTAGCTGTAGTTTTCCATTTCCTTTAATCACAGGGCATGATAGTAGTAAGAAATGCCCTAAGGAATTGCCTATATTTCAGACCTACTCTCCTTTACTTATATAGTATCAATCCAATTTTCTCTTGATAATCAGAATCAATCATACCAACCAATATGATAGCTATCTTCTTTGCCTGTTGATCCAGAGGCATGAGGAGCCCAAAGCAGCTGGGTGACATTCTTAACTTCATGTTCATTGGAATTGGTGTTGTAATCTCCAGATAAGTGCTTTCCTCCCTTTGGAGCTAAGACCGCTAGACTCATAGGATGTAGGATTTCAGGGAAAGAAAGCCACATTTTTGTGAGTGGCTCACTAGTGATAATAGTGTATGATGCCACTCCCATTTCCACCCCTTGATTTCTGGACTCATGAACCCTTGCTACTGGAGAAACATCATCATATATTGGACACTGGTTTAGAGCATATACGGCCTTCAGGAGAACACCATTCCAACCCTTCAAAGTACTGCCGTCACCCAGCTAATGTTGTAATTGTGCCTTTAGGAGGCCATTCTGGTGTTCTATCAAACCAGCTGCTTCAGGAAGGTGGAAAAACTGTTAGACTAAATTAATTCCATGAGTATGGGTCCACTCCCACACTTCATTTGCTGTGAAGTCAGTCCCTTGATCTGAGGTAATACTGTGAGGGATACCATGGCAGTAGATAAGGCATTCTATAAGTTCACAGAGAATCACTGCATGCAGGGAAGGCAAATCTATATCCAGATTTAGTGACTAGCCCGGTAAGAGCAAAATACTGTCCTCCATGACAGAAGCGGTCTAATGTAATCAACCTGCTTCCAGGTTGCTGGCTGATTGGCCTGCAGAATGGTGCCATATCAGGGGCCCACTGTTGGTCTCTGATGCTGGCAGATTAGGGACTTGACAGTGGTTATGGCCCAGTTGGCTTGGTGAGTAGAATTTTATGTTGCTCAACTCATGCAAAACTCCCATCCCTGCCACCGTGGCTACTTTGTTTATGAGCCCATTAGGCAATGATAGAAATGGCAAGGGAAAAAGGATGATTGGTTTCCACAGAATGTTTCATCATATCCACTTTATTATTGAAATTATCCTCTGCTAAGGTCACCTTTTAGTTAGCATTCACATGAGACACAGATATCTTCATTTCTTTTGCACATGCAGAGAGCTGTCCACATACCTCTTCTCCATACATCCTTGTCACCAATTTTCCAATCCTGTCCCTTCCAAATCCATGACAATCTAGTCAAACCACAAATCAGTATGCAGTTACACACTTGACCATTCCTCCTTCTAAGCAAAGTGAACAGCCAGACTCACTGCTGGAAGTTCTGAACACTGAGAGGAGAGTCCTTCTTCCTGTCCTTCAGGGAGAGCCCACAAAGGGGCGGCAGTGCTCCGGCTGTTCACTTTCAATTGGTGCAGGTGATTGTGCAGCCAGAGGTTTTTCTTCCTCAGTCAATGGATCATAAGGAACTCCCCTTAATAAGGCCAAAGGTGCAGACTAGGAGAGAGATGCTAAAAAGTGACAGAAGTGAAGACCAGGGTTATTTGGGCCACTTCCTCTATCAGCTATAGCAGCCAACGATACTGCAAAATGGTTCTTGTATTGCAGTGGGTTGAATACTGTCTCCCCTAAATTCATGTCCACCTGGAACCTCAGAATGGGAAATTATTAGACAATATAATTCATTAAGTTAAGATCATACTAGATTACTAGATCCCAAATCTGA